GAGAATATCCTCGGAGTCGCTCAGAGACAACGTCCGTCTGATGATGATTTCTGACCAGTCGGTGACGTCACTGACCGTACAGACAAGTCCAGCCAGCCCTTCATCCAGGAAACCATTTCTGGACCGAAACATCACAACTGGCAACATAAAGAGACGCATGTTTGAGGTATATCTGGCAACATAAAGAGATACATGTTTGAGGCATATCACAAATGGCAACAGAAAGAGATACCTGTTTGACACATATCACAACTGGAGATACATGTCTGAGGCATATCACAACTGGCAACATAAAGAGATACATGTTTGAGGCATATCACAAATGGCAACAGAAAGAGATACCTGTTTGACACATATCACAACTGGAGATACATGTCTGAGGCATATCACAACTGGCAACATAAAGAGATACATGTTTGAGGCATATCACAACTGGCAAGATAAAGAGATACATGTCTGAGGCATATCACAACTGGCAACATAAAGAGATACATGTTTGAGGTATATCTGGCAACATAATGAGATACATGTTTGAGGCATATCACAACTGGAGATACATGTCTGAGGCATATCACAACTGGCAACATAAAGAGATACATGTTTGAGGCATATCACAACTGGCAAAATAAAGAGATACATGTCTGAGGCATATCACAACTGGCAACATAAAGAGATACATGTTTGAGGCATATCACAACTGGCAACAGAAAGAGATATATGTTTGACACATATCACAACTGGAGATACATGTCTGAGGCATATCACAACTGGCAACATAAAGAGATACATGTTTGAGGTATATCTGGCAACATAATGAGATACATGTTTGAGGCATATCACAACTGGAGATACATGTCTGAGGCATATCACAACTGGCAACATAAAGAGATACATGTTTGAGGCATATCACAACTGGCAACATACAGAGTTACATGTCTGAGGCATATCACAACTGGTCACATAAAGAGATACATGTCTGAGGCATATCACAACTGGCAACATACAGAGTTACATGTTTGAGGCATATCACAACTGGCAACACAGAGTTACACTGGCATATCACAACTGGCAACATAAAGAGATACATGTTTGAGGCATATCACAACTGGTAACATAAAGAGATACATGTTTGAGGCATATCACAACTGGCAACATAAAGAGATACATGTCTGAGGCATATCACAACTGGCAACATAAAGAGATACATGTTTGAGGCATATCACAACTGGCAACAGAAAGAGATACATGTTTGAGGCATATAACAACTGGTAACATAAATAGATATATTTTTGAGGCATATCACAACTGGCGACAGAAAAAGATACATGTTTGAGGCATACCACAACTGGCAACATAGAGAGATACATGTTTGAGGCATATCACAACTGACGACAGAAAAAGATACATGTTTGAGGCATACCACAACTGGCAACATAGAGAGATACATGTTTGAGGCATATCACAACTGGCGACAGAAAAAGATACATGTTTGAGGCATACCACAACTGGCAACATAAAGAGATACATGACTGAGAAATCATCCTTTGACAGTCAAGTGTTACTGTCAATGTGCAACCTAGATAAGGAAGACAATTGCCCTGTTTTATTGCTAGGTCTGAACTATAAACGAAACGCGTTTATAAATCTAAACACAAAGATTACAATATAGTTGAGGTATCAATACAGTAACTGGAACATACCTGGAACTGCCCTGTTGGCGACTGTCGCTGTGTCCGTCCCTGGTCCTTCCCTTGATGTGCGGGTTGAGCTTGTGTCTTTGTCTGGTCCTTCCGTTGATGTGCGGGTTGAGCTTGTGTCTGTCCTTGGTCCTTCTGTTGATGTGTGGGTTGAGCTTGTGTCTTTGCCTGGTCCTTTCGTTGCTGTGTGGGTTAAGGTTGTTTCTGTCACTGGTCCCTTTGTTGCTGTGTTGGTTGAGGTGGTGTCTGTCACTGGTCCCTTTGTTGCTGTGTTGGTTGAGGTGGTGTCTGTCACTGGTCCCTTTGTTGCTGTGTTGGTTGAGGTGGTGTCTGTCACTGGTCCCTTTGTTGCTGTGTTGGTTGAGGTGGTGTCTGTCACTGGTCCCTTTGTTGCTGTGTTGGTTAAACTTGTGTCTGTCACCGATCCCTGCGTTGCTGTGTTGGTTGAGGTGGTGTCTGTCTCTTGTCCCTTGGTTGCTGTGTTGGTTGAGGTGGTGTCTGTCTCTTGTCCCTTGGTTGCTGTGTTGGTTGAGGTGGTGTATGTCCCTGGTCCCTTCGTTGCTGTGTGGGTTGAACTTGTGTCTGTCACTGGTCCCTTCGTTGCTGTGTGGGTTGAACTTGTGTCTGTCCCTGGTCCTTTCGTTGCTGTGTTGGTTGAACTTGTGTCTGACCCTGGTCTTTTCGTTGCTGTGTAGGTTGAACTTGTGTCCGTCCCTGTTCCTGTCGTTGCTGTGTGTGTTGAACTTGTGTCTGTCACTGGTCCCTTCGTTGCTGTGTGGGTTGAACTTGTGTCTGTCACTGGTCCCTTCGTTGTTTGGTGTGTAGAGGTAAGTGAGGTCGTGTTCTTTGTTGAAGTGGTGTAACCTGATGTAGGCAATGTGAGCCTATTTGTTGTTAAACGTGCTGTTGTCAATGAGACTACCAGTGGTGCAGTGGTTCTTTCTGTTGTTGCTGTTGTTCTTTCATCAGATCTTGCTGCTGACATGACAACAGACGTCAACTCTGCATTATCTGTGGTAGCACTACTGAAACTGTCCAAGGTGACTGATGATATGGGTTGGGGAGATGATGTCAAATGTACTGTTGTTGTTGTCACTGATGTTGTTCTAGAAGTGCCCATACTGTCATCATGTGTGGATGGAAGATCGTTGGTTGTTGTTTCTGTAAATTTTATACACACATAAATTAATAAGTATATTCAAAAAGTCCAACCATGTCAGTATAGTCGAATTAGATCAGTGTAGCCAATCTATATCCGTATAAAGAAACTATGTCAGTACAGACAATCCGTGTCAGTATAGACAAACCATGTCAGTATAGACAAACCATGTCACTATATACTTACTATGTCAGTATAGACACCATGTCAGTATAGACAAACCATGTCAGTACAGACAAACCATGTCAGTATAGACACCACGTCAGTATAAACAAACTATGTCAGTATAAACAAACCATGTCAGTATATACAAACCATGTCAATATAGACACCATGTCAGTATAGACACCCTGTCAGAATAAAAAAACTATGTCAGTATAGACAAACCACGTCAGTATAAACAAACTAAGTCAGTATAGAGAAACCATGTCAGTATAAACAAACTATGTCAGTATAGACAAACAATGTCAGTATAAACAAACTATGTCAGTATAGACAAACCATTTCGGCATAGACACACTATGTCAGTATAAACAAAGCATGTCACTATAAACATACCATGTTAGTATAGACAAACAGTGTCAGTATAGACAAACCAAGTCAGTATAAACAAACTATGTCAGTATAGACAAACCATGTCAGTATAAACAAACCATGTCAGTATAAACAAACTATGTCAGTATAGACAAACCATGTCAGTATAGACAAATCATGTCAGTATAAACTAACCATGTCAGTATAAACTAACCATGTCAGTATAAACTAATTATGTCAGTATAAGCAAACTATGTCAGTATAGACAAACCAAGTCAGTATAGACAAACCATGTCAGTATAGAAAAACCATGTCAGTATAAACACACAATGTCAGTATAGACAAACCATGTCAGTATAAACAAACAATGTCAGTATAGAAAAACCATGTCAGTATAAAAAAACAATGTCAATATTTAGACAAACCATGTCAGTATAGCCAAACTGGTTCAGTACAGTAAATGCGCAAGTAGAGACAAGCCGTTTCAAAATAGACAAAGTATATCAGTATGAACAAAATGTGTCTGTTTAGCAAACCATATCAGTATAAGCCAACTATGTCAGTATAGACAAATCATATCAATAAAGACAAACCACTTTAATATAGTAAACCATATCAGTATAGGCAAACTATGTCAGTACAGACAAATCATGTCACAATAGAGAAACTATGTCAGCATGGGCAAACTATGTCAGTATAGACAAATCATGTTGGTATAGCAAACCTAATCAGACAAGCCCTGTTTGTATGTCAGTATTGACAAACCATGTCAGTATTAACAAACCATGCCAGCATAGACAAACCATGTCAGCGTAGACAAACCATATTAACATTGCTGATCAACGTTGTTACTGATTCCTTTGACGAGACTCAGGTCCTGGGAAATTTGACAGTCAACTAATGACCCCTGCTCTAAAAGGTCACTAGAGTTACACATAAATAGCGATAATAATTACTCTGAGCAACAGGTAGAGATCAGTATGTCATTGAAGCGGAGTATGTTACCTAAAGTCTTCAGCAGGACTGCAGACTGCTGGTCGACGCTGATGAACTCTAGGCTGGTGTTTGTGCACGATCGACATACCACAAACTGACCCAGTTTCATGGCGTCCTCAGTTTTCCAATCGGCAGCTACTTCCGCTGACTCAATGACGTTTTCCACATCCTTGGCAGAATGGATGAGGCCCGCGTCTACAAATGTCATCGACGATGTGGCGTAGATACTGCCTTTTCTGGAACGCATACCACCGTGAAGGAAGAATTCACATTGGTCAATAGTTAACATAGAAATACATATCAGCTGGTATCCACTTGTTTAAAAGTAATTAGCGAAGTGAATGTGACATCAGATAACAGACTGAGGATCAGATTAGTGAATGTGACATCATAGTTAGGTAATGAAATGTGACATAATGTGACAGGTAATGAGATCAGAAACTGTGTGGCAGGTAATGAGATGTGACATTATGTGGTAGGTTATGAGATGTGACATTATGTGGCAGGTAATGAGATGTGACATTATGTGGTAGGTAATGAGATGTGGCATTATGTGGCAGGTAATGAGATGTGACATTGTGTAACTATTAAAGAATCGGGTAGTAAGTGTGACATCATATTTCATGTATGCAATCAGGTACTGAGATGTATGATATGATAAGTTGCTTCCACCACAGTATCGCCAACCATAACACGGACATTAGACAACTGTACACGGGAAAATTGTTGATCTCACTCAGGGACTTATCGAGCTGATGGTCAACATGATAGAGCTTGCTACTGTGTCAGTCAAACAAACAGGAGGTATTGTGTGTCATTTGCCAATGACCGCTGTTATATTATCACTTGTTCCGTGTAGGCAGGGGGCGTCTTGGAGCCTGAGGATACACGGCCGCATGGCAGGACAGACACGGCTCCAACCTGACATCGAGATATAGCAGCAGCAACTAAATGACTAACACGGCTTCAACCAGACATCGAAATATCGCAGCAGCAACTAAAGGACAGACACGGCTTAGACCGGACATCGAAATATTGCAGCAGCAACTAAATGACTGACACGGCTTAGACCGGACATCGAGATATTGCAGCAGCATCTAAAGGACAGACACGGCTTAGACCGGACATAGAAATATTGAAGCAGCATCTAAAGGACAGACACGGCTTAGACCGGACATCGAAATATTGAAGCAGCATCTAAAGGACAGACACGGCTTAGACCGGACATCGAGATATTGCAGCAGCCACTAAAGGACTTTTACTGCTAGTTTTAGACCGCTATGTGCATGTATTTAAAATTGTCTAAAAACGTTATGTAGAGTTGTCTGAGACAGTTATGTTGAGTTGTGTGAGACAGTTATGTTGAGTTGTGTGAGACAGTTATGTTGAGTTGTGTGAGACAGTTATGTTGAGTTGTGTGAGACAGTTATGTTGAGTTGTCTGAGACAGTTATATTGAGTTGTCTTGAGACAGTTATGTTGAGTTGTCTGAGACTGTTATGTTGAGTTGTGTTAGTTAGAGTTGTGTGAGACAGTTATGTTGAGTTGTGTTAGTTAGAGTTGTGTGAGACAGTTATGTTGAGTTGTGTGAGACAGATATGTTGAGTTGTGTGAGACAGTTAGGTTGAGTTGTCTGAGACAGTTATATTGAGTTGTCTTGAGACAGTTATGTTGAGTTGTCTGAGACAGTTATGTTGAGTTGTGTTAGTTAGAGTTGTGTGAGACAGTTAGGTTGAGTTATCTGAGACAGTTAGGTTGAGTTGTCTGAGACAGTTAGGTTGAGTTGTGTGAGACAGTTATGTTGAGTTGTGTGAGACAGTTAGGTTGAGTTGTCTGAGACAGTTATATTGACAGTCCTGGACACGTAATAAAGAGTTGTCTCAGAAAGAAATGTTGACTTCCTGGGACTGAACATTTTACCAAAGTTAGCAGGGAACCGGAGATGACGGGGAACAAAACCACGCCTGTACAATGTGAGGTCACGGCACTGTTCTAACAAATGTACACTAGCCACTTTCTACTCAACGCCCTGACGTGTGTACACGAGAAAACATAGAAACAATCAAACAATTAGAATCACAGCTAACCTGAAAGAGATTATTTCATTGTGAATGTAGACACTTGCTAGGTGGGACTTGAGGAACAGGGCGTCCAGCTCTGCAGAAAATGAAATGGCTAAGTTTCTGAAGGCTTCAGAGCCAAATGTAGACAGCTGGTCGTCGAAACGTCGATTGAGAATCTTTAACGTCATGTTGGCTCTCACAGCAGCTGTAAGTACACACATACAAATATACACATGTTTATTGGATGTGTGACTACAAAACACACACACACATGTTTACTGAGTGTGTGAGGACACAAACACACATGCTTACTGGGTAAATGAGTACACACACACATGTTTACCAAGTGTGTGAGTACATATAAACACACACACACACTCTCTCCAATTAACACATACTTATTTTGTGTACTTATGTGTTGGTACACAAACACTTATGCTTACTGGATGTGTGGATACACAAACACACATGTTTACTGGATGTGTGGGTACACAAACACTTATGTTTACTGGATGTGTGGGTACACAAACACTTATGTTTACTGGAAGTGTTTGTTTACTGGATGTGTGGGTACACAAACACTTATGTTTACTGGATGTGTAGGCACACAAACACTTATGTTTACTGGATGTGTGGATACACAAACACACATGTTTACTAGATGTGTGGGTACACAAACACTCATGTTTACTAGATGTGTGGGTACACAAGCACTTATGTTTACTGGATGTGTGGGTACACAAACACTTATGTTTACTGGATGTGTGGGTACACAAGCACTCATGTTTACTGGATGTGTGGGTACACAAACACTTATGTTTACTGGATGTGTGGGTACATGAACACACATGTTTACTAGATGTGTGGGTACACAAACACACATGTTTACTGGATGTGTGGGTACACAAACACTTATGTTTACTGGATGTGTGGGTACACAAGCACTTATGTTTACTGGATGTGTGGGTACACAAGCACTTATGTTTACTGGATGTGTGGGTACATGAACACACATGTTTACTGGATGTGTGGGTACACAAACACACATGTTTACTGGATGTGTGGGTACACAAGCACTTATGTTTACTGGATGTGTGGGTACATGAACACACATGTTTACTAGATGTGTGGGTACACAAACACACATGTTTACTGGATGTGTGGGTACACAAACACTCTTGTTTACTGGATGTGTGGGTACACAAACACACATGTTTACTGGATGTGTGGGTACACAAGCACTTATGTTTACTGGATGTGTGGGTACATGAACACACATGTTTACTGGATGTGTGGGTACACAAACACTCTTGTTTACTGGATGTGTGGGTACACAAACAATCATGTTTACTGGATGTGTGGGTACACAAACAATCATGTTTACTGGATGTGTGGGTACATGAACAATCATGTTTACTGTATATGTGGGGACACAAACACTCATGTTTACTGGATGTGTGGGTACACAAACACTTATGTTTACTGGATGTGTGGGTACACAAACAATCATGTTTAATGGATGTGTGGGTGCACAAACACTTATGTTTACTGGATGTGTAGGTACACAAACACTCATGTTTACTAGATGTGTGGGTACACAAACACTCATGTTTACTGGATGTATGGGTACATGAACAATCATGTTTACTGGATGTGTGGGTACACAAACACTCATGTTTACTTGTTGTGTGGGTACACAAACACTCATGTTTACTTGATGTGTGGGTACACAAACAATCATGTTTACTGGATGTGTGGGTACACAAACAGTCATGTTTACTGGATGTGTGGGTACACAAACACTTATGTTTACTGGATGTGTGGGTACACAAACACTTATGTTTACTGGATGTGTGGGTACACAAACACTTATGTTTACTGGATGTGTGGGTACACAAACACTTATGTTTACTGGATGTGTGGGTACATGAACACTCATGTTTACTGGATGTGTGGCCACCGAATATTGGTTCATCTTCACAGTCGCAATTTATTGGGACTGCCGGTCGAGATATCACATTTCGCCAATACTACTGGATAACTTTTTTGTAGTTATGGAAGATTCTAGAATCTCCTGTCTCTATTTAATTACCAAGCAGTGTCATTTTTCTCATGTCAACCTTAACGGTGTGATGTTATTTTTATGTCACAACTCTAACGTTTTTTCCAGTGTCAGGGTGGACTTAGCAACTACTAGTGACATCTCCCAGGTAACTACTAGTGAAATCTCCCTGGTAACTACTGGTGACATCTCTGTGGTAACTACTGGTGACATCTCCCTGGTAACTACTGGTGACATCTCCCTGGTAACTACTGGTGACATCTCCCTGGTAACTACTGGTAACATCTCCCTAGTAACTACTGGTGACATCTCCCTGGTAACTACTGGTGACATCTCCCTGGTAACTACTGGTGACATCTCCCTGATAACTACTGGTGACATCTCCCTGGTAACTACTGGTGACATCTCCCTGGTAACTACTGGTGACATCTCCCTGGTAACTACTGGTGACATCTCTCTGGTAACTACTGGTGACATCTCCCTGGCAACTACTGGTGACATCTCCCTGGTAACTACTGGTGACATCTCTCTGGTAACTACTGGTGACATCTCCCTGGTAACTACTGGTGACATCTCCCTGGCAACTACTGGTGACATCTCCCTGGTAACTACTGGTGACATCTCCCTGGTAACTACTGGTGACATCTCTCTGGTAACTACTGGTGACATCTCCCTGGTAACTACTGGTGACATCTCTCTGGTAACTACTGGTAACATCTCCCTGGTAACTACTGGTGACATCTCTCTGGTAACTACTGGTGACATCTCCCTGGTGACTACTGGTGACATCTCTCTGGTAACTACTGGTGACATCTCTGTGGTAACTACTGGTGACATCTCCCTGGTAACTACTGGTGACATCTCCCTGGTAACTACTGGTGACATCTCTGTGGTAACTACTGGTGACATCTCCCTAGTAACTACTGGTGACATCTCCCTGGTAACTACTGGTGACATCTCCCTGGTAACTACTGGTGACATCTCTGTGGTAACTACTGGTTGACATTTCCCTGGTAACTACTGGTGACATCTCTGTGGTAACTACTGGTAACATCTCTGTGGTAACTACTGGTGACATCTCCCTAGTAACTACTGGTGACATCTCCCTGGTAACTACTGGTGACATCTCTCTGGTAACTACTGGTGACATCTCTCTGGTAACTACTGGTGACATCTCCCTGGTAACTACTGGTGACATCTCCCTGATAACTACTGGTGACATCTCTCTGGTAACTACTGGTGACATCTCTCTGGTAACTACTGGTGACATCTCTGTAGTAACTACTGGTGACATCTCCCTGGTAACTACTGGTGACATCTCTGTGGTAACTACTGGTGACATCTCCCTGGTAACTACTGGTGACATCTCCCTGATAACTACTGGTGACATCTCTGTGGTAACTACTGGTGACATCTCTCTGGTAACTACTGGTGACATCTCCCTAGTAACTACTGGTAACATCTCCCTAGTAACTACTGGTGACATCTCTGTGGTAACTACTGGTGACATCTCTGTGGTAACTACTGGTGACATCTCTCTGGTAACTACTGGTGACATCTCTGTGGTAACTACTGGTGACATCTCCCTGGTAACTACTGGTGACATCTCTGTGGTAACTACTGGTGACATCTCTCTGGTAACTACTGGTGACATCTCTCTGGTAACTACTGGTGACATCTCTGTGGTAACAACTGGTGACATCTCTCTGGTAACTACTGGTGACATCTCCCTAGTAACTACTGGTGACATCCCCCTGGTAACTACTGGTGACATCTCCCTGGTAACTACTGGTGACATCTCTGTGGTAACTACTGGTAACATCTCCCTAGTAACTACTGGTGACATCTCCCTGGTAACTACTGGTGACATCTCTGTGGTAACTACTGGTGACATCTCCCTGGTAACTACTGGTGACATCTCTGTGGTAACTACTGGTAACATCTCCCTAGTAACTACTGGTGACATCTCCCTGGTAACTACTGGTGACATCTCCCTGGTAACTACTGGTGACATCTCCCTGGTAACTACTGGTGACATCTCCCTGGTAACTACTGGTAACATCTCCCTAGTAACTACTGGTGACATCTCCCTGGTAACTACTGGTGACATCTCCCTAGTAACTACTGGTGACATCTCCCTGGTAACTACTGGTGACATCTCCCTGGTAACTACTGGTGACATCTCCCTGATAACTACTGGTGACATCCCCCTGATAACTACTGGTGACATCTCTGTGGTAACTACTGGTGACATCTCTCTGGTAACTACTGGTGACATCTCCCTGGTAACTACTGGTGACATCTCCCTGGTAACTACTGGTGACATCTCCCTGGTAACTACTGGTGACATCTCCCTGGTAACTACTGGTGACATCTCTGTGGTAACTACTGGTGACATCTCTCTGGTAACTACTGGTGACATCTCTCTGATAACTACTGGTGACATCTCCCTGGTAACTACTGGTGACATCTCCCTGGTAACTACTGGTGACATCTCCCTGGTAACTACTGGTGACATCTCTGTGGTAACTACTGGTGACATCTCTCTGGTAACTATTGGTGACATCTCTCTGATAACTACTGGTGACATCTCCCTGGTAACTACTGGTGACATCTCTCTGGTAACTACTGGTGACATCTCCCTGGTGACTACTGGTGACATCTCCCTGGTAACTACTGGTGACATCTCTCTGGTAACTACTGGTGACATCTCTGTGGTAACTACTGGTGACATCTCCCTGATAACTACTGGTGACATCTCCCTGATAACTACTGGTGACATCTCTGTGGTAACTACTGGTGACATCTCTCTGGTAACTACTGGTGACATCTCCCTGGTAACTACTGGTGACATCTCCCTGGTAACTACTGGTGACATCTCCCTGGTAACTACTGGTGACATCTCCCTGGTAACTACTGGTGACATCTCTGTGGTAACTACTGGTGACATCTCTCTGGTAACTACTGGTGACATCTTCCTGGTAACTACTGGTGACATCTCCCTGGTAACTACTGGTGACATCTTCCTGGTAACTACTGGTGACATCTCTCTGGTAACTACTGGTGACATCTACCTGGTAACTACTGGTGACATCTCTGTGGTAACTACTGGTGACATCTCCCTGGTAACTACTGGTGACATCTCCCTGGTAACTACTGGTGACATCTCCCTGGTAACTACTGGTGACATCTCCCTGGTAACTACTGGTGACATCTCCCTGGTAACTACTGGTGACATCTCCCTGGTAACTACTGGTGACATCTCCCTGGTAACTACTGGTGACATCTCCCTGGTAACTACTGGTGACATCTCTGTGGTAACTACTGGTGACATCCCCGTGTCCTGCCTTTACTTGCTAACTTAATTAACACTCGCAAATTTTTGCTGGAAAGCAAAGCGCCTGCCTCTGATTTAAAACAACCGGAAAATTATGTAAGGGAAGGAAATCAATTCTTTCGACGTTTTTAATTGCGTTGCCTGTGGAATAGTAGGTTGCAGTTTTACTTAAAACTGCACAGGTCTGTGTAATTTGTACGGCTAGAGTCATTCCACCTCTGTTACACAAACACACGCACAGACACACATGTGTTTACTATGTGTGTGAGCACACAAACACACGCATGCACAGATGTGTTTACTATGTGTGTGAGCACACAAACACAGGCACGCACACATGTGTTTACTATGTGTGTGAGCACACAAACACAGCTGTCTTCCCAGGATGTGTGAGAAACGAACAAACACACGTGTTTACTTGTGAGTGAGTAAACAAACACACATACAAGCAAGATTCTGGTGCTGTTGCCTCGACTACAAGTAGTCTATGGAGGTTATGACTGTCTCTGGATGCGTGAAAGCACAGATATGCACAAATGGTTTTACTAGATGTGTGTGTGTGTGTGTGTGTGGTTATGTGTGCGTATGTAAGCAATCACGCACATACACACACATGCTTTTTATATGTGTTAGTACACGCACTCACCAGTGTTAATATATGTGTGAGCACACACATACACGATTACACGCACACACGATCACACATATACACATACGATTACTCACGATCTCTATCATACACACGCACACACGATCACAAACACACACACACATACGATCATACCTAATGATACCCGATCACACGCAAAGACACACGTTTACCAGTCAGACAAACATCCACGCAAACGAACGTTTAGACAAATAACGTCAGCCATAACTGACATCAAATTAGTTGTGAAAAAACAGATTATTTCTGAAACAAGTAAATTAGGAGACAACAAATTAGTGGTAAAAGAACAAATTGTTTGAGAAACAACAAATTAATTAAGATACATCAAATTAGTGGGGAAAGAACAAATTGTTTGAGAAACAACAAATTAATTAAGAGACATCAAATTAGTGGTGAAAGAACAAATTGTTTGTGAAACAACAAATTAATTAAGAGACATTAAATTAGTTGTGAAAGAGCAAATTATCGCTGAAACAACAAGTATATTAGGAGCTAACAAATCAGTAGTGAAAGGGCATTTATATTTCAAACGAGGGAGACACTTACTGATGTCTGGCTGCCCGCTGACAGGATTCTCTGCTGTCAACAGAAAACAAAGAGGTTAGTGGCCTGGGAAATCAGGTGTCATTGAATGTTTTTGACTTCACATTGTCACAGCTTCCAAAAGCATATATACAGGTCGTAGACTATTATACCAGAGTGCTGCTGCAGAATAATATGATAGAAGTGAGTATCAGAGTGCGTTGTTGCATGTCGATTTAGGTGTATCAACATTGTTTATATCTTTAGGGCTATACCGAATATTCGCTTCGTGGCCCAATAGTGAACCTAACAACTATTCGGTATTTGGCCGAATACTTGCGGTCGGGCTGAATACGAATAGAGGTTACCTTACACCCGTTTCTGCATACACTGCGGTGGACAGAAATAACGCTCTCATTAACACAATACTTGCTGTTGTCTAAGTCTGTCGTAACGGGGGTAACTGAAACCCGGTTGCGTGGTACAACAGCTGGTAAGATCTTTGTCTGCTGACTCGACCGAGGCATTACAGCAGAGGTTCTCAAACCGGGTGCGTATACCAGGGTGCCACGACGAAAATTAGGAAAAGTCGGCTATAAATTGTGACAATAGTAAATAAGGCATGAAGATACTTAAAGGTTTTAATTTAAATTGTCTTTGTTTTGACTTAAGACAGGAGGTGACCAATGTCAACCAGCCTGGGTAAAATTGACACCAAGTTCGTGTTGAGCAAGATTGGGGCGAGAAGGTACGAGGCGAAAGATGTAACACGTGAATAAGTGGTGGGCGTCTCAAGCATCACGAAGAACTCACAAATGTTTATACTGGGGCCGATCGAGAATCATGAAATAAACACTTGGACCGTATGCGCATATGTGACCCACGTTTAGCAAACAACATACGTACATGTCATGTATTACAACTGTACACGAAGAGCCGAAGGCAAAAGCCGCATAGGTTGTTGATTTTACCGAGCTAGGTACCAAATTAGCTTCACATTCAATGCAATTGGATCATTGCCATGCGGCCATAATGACCTCATCACCACTGAAAACAAAATTCGACAGCAAGTTTCTAGGACAGTCTCAACCTCAGTAATTGTGTAGTTAACGAGCGTAAATGCACAGTGTTATGAGATACAGGCGCAAAAAGTACAGGGTATCTGAAACGCACCTTTTGTTTGTGTTAGTTATATTGTGAAGCTTGCTGATATACTTTTCGTTCGGTTTTATATCTACATTTTCAGGGTATCTAAAAGTCTTCTGTGAATGAAAAAGATTAAACATGCGAACATATCATTTGTCATACCTTCTCAGGGAGGAAAGAAGGATTTGAGTTGGTATGGACTAACCTTAAATCAGCATATTGAACTATATATTTGCTATACTGTCTGATCCAGTCGCTGACATAATTTTGGGTATTTGTCGATATGTGAATTATGTACCAGAGGGTGAAATCATCAGTTGGCAGAGTGAGAATATAACATGTAATGATTCAACTAGACATCAAACTGATATAGTGTGTGAGCGGAAAGAAAAAGAGAAATTAGAGAAACTTTTAAATATAGTAACATCAACTTAACTTAAACTCAGAAACTAACTCATTGTAAACCAAAGAAGTGATAAGTGTTTCCAGCCTACCAATAATTAGGAAAAACCGTCTACAATTTGGCAATTATACTTTAGCTTTAAATAGGGCATCCTGGCGAGATTTTACAAGAAGGGGATAGCAAACCTGAAACAAACTGCACTACCCCAAATAAACAGAAGCAAGCGTTTGAGATATTACATAAATCACTGTTTGTGGGACAGACTGGAAACGAGAAGACAATAAATAAACTTTTCAACGAATTCTACTGGCAGGACTTTTGCAAGTGTGTGAAAGAATAGTATCTTTCACACGGCGTTTATAATGCTTTTCCCACCTGTGAAAGGCATAGTACAAGAAAGGAAAGCACCCGA